TGTTCAATAAGAGTCCCGCCCTGAACACATCTATGTGATAATATTCAGTAATAGTGAGAGCGCCACCTAGTGGCAACAGGAAGTATTACGTTTTATACTTTCATGTTCTACTCCTAGCAGGATGATCAGATCCACCTGAAATGTACTTATGAAATGCAAAACACATTGTTGATGATATGTGATGACACACGAGTTTGCTATAACTTGAGTGTACATTGTCCATTCAGCTCCAAACTTCACTTGTCTGATGAGAGTCCCCTCTCTGAACCTCTCTGTATGAATTTTTATTGAACCGTGTTGCCGTAGCGACACGGCAAACATCACCTTGTTGTTTTAACATTTGATCGCATTTTGCATGGGCTAAACAGGCTCAACACCTCATGAAACTTGGCACACACGTCCCACATGGCAGCATTTTACATTTCATATGGATGTTGCCTGTGGGTGTGTCAAAATGGCTTGATAGCGCCCCCTACAAACTTTAAAAAAACCAGCCCTGGTGTCCTGTTTAGTGGACATGAATGAAAATTGACAGGCATATATATCAAGTTAGGACGTACAAAAAAGCCTGTTGGACCCATAACCCAACCACAACAGTACGTCATCTATTTTGATTTTGATTTTGATTTGACTGAATGCTGTGTATTTGTGACTGTACGTTGAAGGGCGTGTCCGTGGCGTGCCGTAAAAGTTGGCCATTTTGAATTCCGTGGTCTTGCATTTGAACGAACGAACTCCTAGGGAATTTATCGGATCTGCTTCAAAACTGGACAGTAGACTTGAAAAATGTTGCTGATTAAAAGTTGTATGATTTGTGACTGTACGTTGAAGGGTGTGTCCGTGGCGTGCCGTCAAATTTGGCCGTTGAAAGGCGTGTCAAAGTTATGTCATTTTCGGTGAATTTTTGCCTTGTATTTGAACGAACGGCTCATAGGGAACTTATTAGATCTGCTTCAAATTTGGACAGTACAATCAAGAGATGTTGCTAATTAAAATTTGTGCTATTTGCGACTGTACGTTGAAGGGCGTGTCCGTGGCATGCCGTCAAAGTTGGCCATTTTGAATCGAATGGGAAGCTGTGATGCCATTTCCGGCATTTCAGGGCTTCAATTTTAACTAACTCGTACAGATTTTATTGGATTGACTTCAAATTTGATCACTGCAATCTAGACATGTTGGTGATCAAAAGTTAATCGCTATGAAAGCATAAGTCTTTTGCACAGTGTCTGAAACACATGACAATGTAGAGCGGTCTCCCTCAGCTTCTAGCAATGAGGGTTTAGAAATGGGGCGACGTGGTGTGTCGTGGCGAAGCTGCAGCAGGCGACCGCCGAGCAGGCCACGACGTAGGGTGATGGCGAGGTCCCGTCCAATGCTGCTTGCAGCTTTAATTTATTTTGGTTTCTTTGCATGTGTGTGTTGCATGGGTTGTTACCAACATCTGGTGAAAATGTCATGACAACAGCACCTTTAGAAATATATTTACTGAGAAAAATGGTGTCTTATTTTACCCGCTGTATATATACATTTACACACGCATATATAGTCAATTTTATTTGTAGAGAGAGAGAGAGAGAGAGAGAAAATATTGTTGCAGTAATCCAGCCTTGAAGTAACAAATGTATGGATTAGTCTGTCTGTGATAGTATGTGTCTAATTTTTGTAATATTACATAAATGAAAGAAGGCAGTCCTAGAGGTCTGCTTTATGTGGGATTTAAATGACAAATCCTGATCAAAGATAACTCCAAGATTCCTGACAGTGGTGCTAGAGGCCAAGTTAATGCCATCTAGAGTAACTATATCTTTAGACAGTGAGTCTCTAAGGTTTTTGGGGCCAAGAACAAGAACTTTGGATTTTTCTGAGTTTAACATCAGAAAATTGCAGGTCATCCAGGACTTTATGTCCTTAAGACATGTTTGTAATTTAGGTAATTGATTAATTTCATCGTGCTTGATTGATAGATATAACTGTATCATCTGCATAACAGTGAAAGTTAATGGAGTGATTTCTAATAATGTTGCCTAAAGGGAGCATATATAAAGTAAATAGTATTGGTCCAAGTACAGAACCTTGTGGAACTCCATGACTAACTATATATATATATATATATATATATATATATATATATATATATATATATATATATACATTTACACACAAACTATTAACTTTTACTTCCTATAGTCTCTAAAAGTAGAACAGGAGCCAGAGCCTTCAGTTACCAAGCTCCTCTCCTGTGGAACCAGCTTCAAGTTGTGGTTCGGGAGGCAGACACCCTCACCACATTCAAGAGTAGGCTTAAGACATTCCTCTTTGATAAAGCTTATAGTTAGGGCTGGATCAGGTGAGTCCTGAACCAGCTCATGGTGGTACTGTTGGGTCTCTGTAATTAATCTTATTAAGAGTTCGGTCTAGACCTGCTCTATTTGAAAAGTGTCCTGAGATAACTTCTGTTATGAATTGGCGCTATACAAATAAAATTGAATTGAATTGAAAATGTTTATATTCACTGTATATGTTTGTATATGTATATAATGTGTGTGTGTGTGTGTGTGTGTGTGTGTGTGTGTGTGTGTGCGTGCGTGTGTGCGTGCGTGCGCAGGGAGTGTGCAGCTGATCCGACCTGTGTTCTGTGTATGCAGTGTTTCCTGGGCAGCGTTCACAAAGAGCATCGATACAGGGTGAGTACACACACACACACACAGACACACACAGACACACTCACAGTCCTCATGTCTGTGTCGTGGTTTGCCTCGTCTTCAAATCCCACAGAGAGTGGGTACATAACCACAGCAGTACGGACACATGTCAATGACAAACTACTGCACAGAAAAAAAAACACCAGCAGACCTGAAGAAATATTACATCTGAAAATTAATTGCCCCAATCAGCCAGTCAGCTAATCAGCTGCTGAGATATCATCCATATAGCTGATTATTAATGCTAATGTTGCTAATTGTCCAACATATGCAGGTTAGCATCAGTCAGTGTAACTGCTGGAGACCCAGACTGAACATTTGTAACAGAAAACTCTGAGTCCACGTTGCTGTAAGTTGACTAATATCAGGAATGTAGTAGTGGACCTGAGTCAGGCTGAACCGGGTTCCTGTGTGGTCTTCATGATGATCTGTGTCAGCAGGAAGTGACGATGCTGCAAGTCAAAGATCAGCTGCACAGAGAGTCTGCAACACATTTGAGCTGGGAGTCGGTCTGCTGTATGTGATAAACTTGTTTTCATCAATTTTATAAAATTTTATTTTAATAAAAACAAAATATGTTACGCTACAATGACGGAGACCTGCAACAACTGGAGGTACTGGTGTCTCTTTACTCAACCGGATAACTGGACTACAGTAATATAATAAACTGAATATGTGTTCAGTATTGGACTATATATACAATATAAATAACTGTCAGAGGACTATTATTAACACAGTGTGGCAGTAATATGTTTAGTCTGATCCGAAGAAGAAGCAGGAGAAGACACTGACTGTGTGGAGACATTTATGGTTCTTGGAAATACTACTTACTGTCTCTGTGCTAGAGACCAGCTACCCCGGTTCTTTTACGTGGCGCTCTGTAAACACCACGCCATCTGAAACGCTTTCCGCTTTAGTGAGGACAGAATGAGGTGAATGGACTCCCTGACAATCGGACACAGGTTCACTGCGCTGGCTAGCTAACAACTGGTAGTGAAACAGCCAGCTCGTAATGAAATAAACAGTGAAACTGACAGCTGGAGGTGCCATAAAGTAAGAGTGTGTGTGTGTGTGTGTGTGTGTGTGTGTGTGTGTGTGTGTGTGTGTGTGTGTGTGTGTGTGTGTGTGTGTGTGTGTGTGTGTGTGTGTGTGTGTGTGTGTGTGTGTGTTAGATGACTACGTCTGGAGGAGGAGGTTTCTGTGACTGTGGAGATGCTGAAGCCTGGAAGAAGGGTCCTTACTGCCAGAAACACACTCCTACAGACAACAACAGAGACACTGAGGAGGTCTGTCTGCAGTGTTACATATACAGTTCAGTTGTATTTGTAAAGTGTCAAACAGAAGTTAAGTTAGTTAGTCTTTTTTCACATAGAGCACTGGTTCCAGCCTGTTCTAACAATCAGTAAACTGGCTGTATGTTCAGTATATTTCATATTGATCATTATCAATAACTGCAGAGAACAGCTGATAAAATGAACAATGAACGCAAACAGTGAACTCAATAACTGCAGGAAGTTTGATTATTTCCTGTGAATATTGATCAGAGATGTCTTTTCCTGATATATTGATACATTCTCTGTCTGTATTCTGTATTTTTAGTATTTTAACAATCAGACTTAATATTCTTCTTTCTGACAGATTCACTGTTTTCTTCACATTGTTCTTTCCTCAGCTCTTTGGTTGGTTTCTAATGCAAGATGAGGCTGTTGATCAGAGACTGAAGCTCAGTCAGTGTACACTGTGATCACAGCTTCATTTATAATATACACTTTGATAAATATTAATTTACTTTAGTTTAATTTACATAAATAAACAAAATGCTGAGATATAGGCCAACTGTATATACAGTGGGTACAGAAAGTATTCAGACCCCTTTTAAATTTTTCACTCTTTGTTTCATTGCAGCCATTTGCTAAAATCAAAAAAGTTCATTTTATTTCTCATTAATGTACACTCAGCACCCCATTTTTTTGCAAATTTATTAAAAAAGAAAAACTGAAATATCACATGGTCATAAGTATTCAGACCCTTTGCTCAGTATTGAGTAGAAGCACCCTTTTGAGCTACTACAGCCATGAGTCTTCTTGGGAATGATGCAACAAGTTTTTCACACCTGGATTTGGGGATCCTCTGCCATTCTTCCTTGCAGATCCTCTCCAGTTCTGTCAGGTTGGATGGTGAACGTTGGTGGACAGCCATTTTCAGGTCTCTCCAGAGATGCTCAATTGGGTTTAGGTCAGGGCTCTGGCTGGGCCAGTCAAGAATGGTCACAGAGTTGTTCCGAAGCCACTCCTTTGTTATTTTAGCTGTGTGCTTAGGGTTATTGTCTTGTTGGAAGGTGAACCTTCGGCCCAGTCTGAGGTCCTGAGCACTCTGGAAGAGGTTTTCTTCCAGGATATCTCTGTACTTGGCTGCATTCATCTTTCCTTCAATTGCAACCAGTCGTCCTGTCCCTGCAGCTGAAAAACATCCCCATAGCCTGATGCTGCCACCACCATGTTTCACTGTTGGGATTGTATTGGGCAGGTGATGAGCAGTGCCTGGTTTTCTCCACACATACCGCTTAGAATTAACGCCAAAAAGTTCAATCTTGGTCTCATCAGACCAGAGGATCTTATTTCTCATAGTCTGGGAGTCCTTCATGTGTTTTTTGGCAAACTCTATGCAGGCTTTCATATGTCTTGCACTGAGGAGAGGCTTCCGTCGGGCCACTCTGCCATAAAGCCCCGACTGGTGCAGGGCTGCAGTGATAGTTGACTATGTGGAACTTTCTCCCATCTCCCTACTGCATCTCTGGAGCTCAGCCACAGTGATCTTTGGGTTCTTCTTTACCTCTCTCACCAAGGCTCTTCTCCCACGATTGCTCAGTTTGGCTGGACGGCCAGGTCTAGGAAGAGTTCTTGTCGTCCCAAACTTCTTCCATTTAAGGATTATGGAGGCCACTGTGCTCTTAGGAACCTTGAGTGCTGCAGAAATTCTTTTGTAACCTTGGCCAGATCTGTGCCTTGCCACAATTCTGTCTCTGAGCTCTTTGGGCAGTTCCTTCGACCTCACGATTCTCATTTGCTCTGACATGCACTGTGAGCTGTAAGGTCTTATATAGACAGGTGTGTGCCTTTCCTAATCAAGTCCAATCAGTTTAATTAAACACAGCTAGACTCCAATGAAGGAGCAGGACCATCTCAAGGAGGATCAGAAGAAATGGACAGCATGTGAGTTAAATATGAGTGTCACAGCAAAGGGTCTGAATACTTATGACCATGTGATATTTCAGTCTTTCTTTTTTAATAAACTTGCAAAAATTTCTACATTTCTGTTTTTTTCTGTCAAGATGGGGTGCTGAGTGTACATTAATGAGAAATAAAATGAACTTTTTTGATTTTAGCAAATAGCTGCAATGAAACAAAGAGTGAAAATTTTAAAGGGGTCTGAATACTTTCCGTACCCACTGTATGTTTAACTCCTACACCTCACAATGCCCATAAAACTGTGTCAATCCCCAGGTTGGGAACTAATGATCACTCTACAGTATTGTACATTGATTAACATTCATTAAAGTGCTGTTTGTCCCTCCAGGATCCTGTAGCTCAGCTTCCAGCTGATATGGTTGCCCGTAGTTACAGCATCTTCTCCATCATCCTGAGGTACGCTGTGGACATGCTGACCTGGGACCAGGAGGACCAGCTACCTGCAGGACTGGAGCCCCCGTATGTACACACAGACCAGATCCTGCTGTAGCAGGGTCCCAGTACTGCGTGTACTGCGTGTACTGCGTGTACTGCAGTACTGCGTGTACTGATACTCTGTATTCTGTGGTACTGCATGTACTGATACTGTGTACTCTGTGTTTTCAGGGCGAGAGGAGACACCTACTACTGCATGTTGTTCAATGATGAAGTCCATACATATGAACAGGTTATCTACACGCTGCAGAAAGCGGTCAACTGCAGTCAGAAAGAGGCTGTCAGCTTCGCCACCACCGTGGACAGAGACGTCAGTACTTCATTATATTGCAGTACTCTCATTATATACTATAGTACTCTCATTATATATTGTGTGTGTGTGTGTGTGTGTGTGTGTGTGTGTGTGTGTGTGTGTGTGTGTGTGTGTGTGTGTGTGTGTGCGCGCTCACGTGTGCGTGTGTGTGCAGGGCAGGAAGTCAGTGCGATACGGAGATTTCCAGTTCTGTGAACAGGCCAAGTCTGTTATAGTGGTGAGTGTCTTCCCTTCATATTGACCTGACTGCTAACATATTTAGCATACAGTCAGCTGCAACCCAGCAATGCTGAATAATGTTATCCGACACTGGTTACCCCGCAACCCCAGTGGTTAACGCCAGCTAGCTTCAACCATATTATTATTATTATATCATTAATAGTATGTTAGGGCAGCAAAGCATGGATTCAGCCTCCGTTTGCTAATATTATCTAGTTGTTTGTGGATAGTTGAGGGGTCAAATAAACTTGATTTAAAACCCTCTCCGCCTCTGTCTCTCCCTCTGTCTGTCTGTCTCCCTCTCTCTCTCCTGTGGTCAGAGAAACACCAGTCGTCAGTCGAAGCCTCTCAGGGTGGAGGTGATGCACTCGTCTGTTGTTGCTCATCAGTGTTTCGCTCTGAAGGCTCTCAGCTGGTTGGGACAGATCATCCAGTACTCTGGTACGTCTGGACTTTATTACCCATATACCCTCTGTTAGTGAGTGTTTACATAGAGTCGTACTCTGGAAACCAACTCCCACAGGAGGGCTGGACTTCTAACAAGCTAGCGAAAAACAGCAGCTTTCAGAAAGGAGGATCATTG